TTCTTCAACCGGAACAGAACCTCAAGCTCAAGCTCGAGCCAGCGCTTCTCCTTCCGCCACCACCCCCAGTTGTACGCTGCGGTCTTGGAGGCCGCCAAGCAATGGTCCTTGTCGATCCCCAGGGGCCAATTGCCCTACAAAAGGCAGAGCGTGGAAGACATCAAGTCGGCTCTCCTGGGAATGGTTTATGAGGCCATCCAGGGACAGGGCATAGAGCACGATCTGGCCTACGACGTCCTTACTGGGGGGACTATGATGTGAGTATTGAGCATCTTAATGCAGAGATCCAAGCTGACACCTTACTTAGGTTTGCTGGCAAAAGCCGCCACATGGTTGACATAGACTTGTTCCCACCGACCACTCGCCTCGTCAATGGTGACGATCTCGGTGACCACTTCTGTGCCTACCAACAGTCTTTTGCCGTTGTAGACACGGCGCCAGAGGTGGAGCGAGCCTTCTTGATGACGGTGGGGGAGAAGTGGGACGAGTTGCAAGGAGGGAAAGACGTTGTTGGTGCCGAGAAGATCGGAGATGTATTTGCGGAGTACGAGCCGGAGGCGGATGCTCAAGGCTCTGGAGATGAGGACGATGACATCGAGTTCATCGAAAAAAAGGTAAGCTGGGGCTGAACAGTGAGAGCGTCTCCCAAGCCAAGAAGATGAAGAAGGAGAACAAGGGGAAGAAGGCTGAGAACGTCGACAAGGCTGAGGAGAAGCAGAGAGAGAGAGGAGCTGGGAAGGGCAAGAAGGTCGTGGCGTTCTGGCGTGATTTTCGAGGAAGGAGATGAGGCCCCTTTTGTGGAGGGAGGAAGGCGGATCATGGCTGGACCAGCTTCGTCATCTGTTTAGAGTAAAGTATAGTTTTCCATGGGCTGTAAAATCATGTGGATAATCCTTTCATGTCCATACTTCGTAGTCACATCAATCTATGCACATATGATAAGGCCGTCTAAATGACCTGGTCGACGTCGTTCCTCTCAAAGAACGCTCTGACCCGCGCGACACAGAGGTCGTAACGACTGCGGCCAAAGTCTTCTTGATAGAGCGCAGGCGGCGGCATCTCTCCGTCCAACCATTCCAAGAATGCCGCATTGGTGAGAATGTCCCTCAAATAGGGACTCATACTCTTCACCGGCTCAACCACCGTCTTCTCCTTCTTACGCTCGCGCGCGCCAGGGTTTGCGGACCACAGCCGATGAGCGTCGACGCCATAGCTGTTGAACTCGAGCCCCAAGTCATGATGGCGCCTGACGTAGTCGTCTTCGTCATCATCAAGCTGCCACCACTCCTCGCCGTAAGCCTCTCGCATCCTGCGGCTCTGTCTACGCCATATGAGGTTGGGGGAAAGTTGCTTCTCGGTACGCAGAGGATGCTCATTCCAGGCGGCAAGAAAGGCGTCGCACTCCATCTGAAGCTGGTCGAGGAAAGTATAGTGCAGGCACCAGAGGTGTACGTCGTGGAAGGGTACCTCTTGCTCGTCCTCGATCTGATGGAAGAGCTCCACGTACTTCTTCGTATTCCAACGCTGGAGATCGACCCAGAGACGCTCGATGCGCTGATTGTGCGTAGAAGCGCCTTGGATGAACGAGCCCCTGCCGTCCCCTGCTCTTTGCTATCAGCGACAGCAATGTCCACAAAGTTGGAAGCGCACTCACCTCTCCTCTCAATCATGTAGTTCTTGACATCTAGCAGCTCCTTGCCGTAGTCCGCCCTGACTCGACTTGGTACCCCATGCTCTTCGGTCGCCTTCTTGAGGACATCAAGGACAGAGGCGGCGCGGTTATTGTTCTGTGCTCGCAGCCCGACAAATTTCCTTGACTTGCCTTCGATGATGCCGATGATGACAATGCGCCATCTAAACATTTTGTGATGTCCATCAATATGCCACAAGCTGTTTATGAACGGGACGTAATAGCGCCTGCGATTGACGACAAATTGCCAGCGAAGAGCTGCAGCGGCTGGATTGACCTCCTTGAGACATAAGCGTATACGCCATCGGGGGACAAATATCTGTTCGCTTCTGAGGGCTCCCGTCACTCCGATGACACCAATAGCACCCATTGATCCTTTGGATATCTTATCAATCTTCTGTGAGAGAGAGTGAGCCCATGCAATTGCCCCCCTGACAAGCAACTTACTTCGGACAATTCACGGTGAGAGATGACAGAGAATTTCCGCCTGTGAAGCCCCATCTCACGTAGACGGTTCTTCACCGTCCTCTTATCCACCCCCAGTCGAGCTCCAATGTACTTGTAAGTCTCCAAGTCCTCCCATAGCGTTTGGAAAAGCTTCATATCGAGCGGCTTTCTGGGTGCCCCCCGTCGGGGACGCCGAGCTCGCTCCGCCTCATCTTGAGCTGCCTGAGCGAATATGAGCTCCACTGGCCTGTCATCTTCGAACTCGATGTCATCCCCGTCCTCCCCCACCCCGTCCTCCGAGAACTCAGAGATCTCCGAGCTAGTATCGCTGAGATCGTCTTCTAAAGCGACGGTACCGTCGTTCAAGGCGGCGCCATTGACGAGAGCGTTACCCAAACCGTGGATGTACTTGAAGTCTTTCCGGGTTCGGTTGAGGTCCAAATACAGCTGGCTGAGGCGAAGCATCCATCCATCCCAATTGGCGATGGACACCCTCGTCTCACAACGGATCAAGTCGACCCGGAGGTCGGATAGATGCTGCATGAGTTCTTGAAGCTCTCGCAGCTGGACTTGTTCGACCGGACGCTGATTGTAGTCATTGGCTTCTTGCATTTGAAACTCCAGCCAAGACGTTACGTTCCGTATCTCTTCAGACGTTAGAGACCCCTGAGGCTTGTCAGCTCCGGCCACCCTCTCGTCTCTAGTCACTGGGCTCACGGCTTTACGAAAGAAAGCAGGAGGCATCTCGTATGTTGGGTTGCCTGTGGCTGCGTATTGTCGAGATACTGATGTGGCGGAGCACCAAGCTATTATTGGGAGGGAGAGGGTGGATATTGACGTGTTGACAGAGCTCCCTCAACCAAGTACACACCTGAAAGGGCCGGGGGCCCTGCTACCGCTGGCTTAGCAGAAATGAAAAGCCGACTCAGCAAGGAATAATGCATGTACAAAATCACAAGGGCCCTCTGTACACTGTGAAGCGTCATGAATACATACCAAAATGAGATGCAATGAAGCAATAACATGCAGGCAGCATTGACGGAGAAAAATAAACATGACGGAGAAAACATAAAAAGCCAGTAGCCGAAAAAAAGAGAGCGCGTCTGAATCATTTCCCCAGCGGCTTGCCATAATATCGGCGCGGTAGACCGGATCGTCCACTAAATTTTGGACATGTTTTGTCCTTTTCTGTTTTTTTTTTTTTTTTTTTAAAAAAAAATAAATAAATAAATATTTTTTTCCCTTCTTCCATGTACCAGGCCATGCAGGTGGATGCAGGAGTTGACATGGTGCCCCATACATATGTATGTTACAGCTTACTGAAGTGCTCACCTAGAGTCCTACCGAGATGTATACCTCCGCACTATACATACACGGCTCTGGCTGTTCATCTTCCCATAAGAAGGACCTTGGGAGTTGAGTGAGGAAGGTGGGCTGGGGGATGTGCATCAGCACAATCTCAGAGGTAGAAGCAGATAGGGTCACATACATGAAGTACATCTATAGATTCATGTAAATCATTCACATCTCCTTTTGCCGTCTCATAAAGTGCTGCTCCTCTTTGTACTGATGTAACAACAGTATGCCTACTGGGTCTACTATCTGGTCCTTGCACTTTTTTCATCAACACACCCTCTTATCGCTCCCGCCCTGGCCCCTAGCACAATATATGCAGTACATCAACAGCAGCTCTAGACTTGCTTCCTGCTCCCTGTCTTTGATCTAGACCAACCCCACATAGACAGAGGGAGGGAGGGGGCGCCTTGACTATCCCCAGGTCTCAAACAACGGAGGACTGCCCCTTGCTTGTATTACCTCTTAGACAGCCTCTTGGTCCACACTCTACCATCAACAGTGCTTTGTCTCTGAACTGCCTGCATGATCCTTTTACAGCTGCATTCTTGGCTACACTGAGACGCTTCTTCAAGCAGTATACATCATTGAGAGGTGAGAGTGGAAATGGATGTCTTATCGGGTACAGCCAGGATGATTGTGTTGATATCTTACTCCTACTTCACAGGGCGGATAGCCTGGAAATAGATTGAAAATGGTGAGGCGGGACACTCAAGCAATGAAGTACCGCAAGCCTGGAGGATAACATCAGCAATGCTATGCAGCAGTCATGCCAAGGACGACGCTCACTCATGCACTCAGCTCTGATCACCACCACCCAGTCTTATATCGGTCCCACATCACCTCTTCACTGTAAGATTGCCCTGCTGTAAACTTAATATGAAGGATGCATGAGGCGAAGGGTCGGTTCCGAGAAGCCAATATGATGGCCAAGTTGGTGCTATGTATGTTGGTTTTGACATAGGCTAGGAAGCATGAAGTATAAGGAGCAGCACAGTCCGTTGAGGGGGTCATATGAGTGTCGAAGTTGCGGTCAATAATAAGCCTGCTATACGGGGCAATAAACCTGCAGTGGACATGAGGGAACCCAAATTTGGAGATCCAATGATCGAAATATAACTGAGTGGCAGCGGAGGAAGTGACCGTGGTGACCGTAGGAATAAGCACAACCCATCCAGTGAGACGATCGGTGATGACCATGAGGTAGTCATAACCGTTACTGGAGGGGAGGGGACCAACAAAATCGATAGCGATATCGGCAAATTTGGAACGAGGGACGGGTAGCGAATGGAGTAGGCCTGCGGGTTTGGTGGTTGAAGACTTGGCGGTTTGGCAAGGGTGACACGATTGAACGTATTCCCTAACGTCCTTCTTCATCTGAGGCCAAAAGTACTTCTCCATAATCGCCTCCATCGTTTTCTCCACTCCAAAATGTCCCACCGCATCGTGGCACTCCTTCAAACATTCCTCGGGCAATCCCTCACTCTCCGGAACACATATCCTTTCTTCCCACTTCAATAACTCCACTATTTTCCCTTTCTTTCCAGCCACCCTAACCATCACAACCCCTGGAGTTAGCAACGGCGATGGAGTGGCGTAGTTGGAGAAAGTGCATGGAGGCGGAAGTTTGGCAGGGGATGCAGAGTAGAGTGGGAATCGAGTTGGTCAAGGCGAGGGCGAGAACGATGTGGATGTAGGGAGAGGAGGGGGAGTAGATAGAGGCGAGAGGGTTTTTTGAGACTTGGCGAGTATGGCCGTCCTGTCTTTTTCCCTCATATCGACATCGTCTTACGTACAGCCTAAGTACATAGAACTGATGAGCTTTACAAGATCTATGTAACTCTCTTCACCCCTGGAGGACGCTCCTCCTCATTCAATCATCGCTCCATGATGCCATCGCCTTGATATCCCTTCGCCATACGCTCCAAAAACTCCTGATTGACCGTGGTCGTGATGAGGGAGAGCGCGTTGAGTGATGCCTCTGAGTGTAGACGAGAGAGAGCATCGGCAATGACGTTGGAGGCACCAGGGATATGGGAGATACGGAGGTCGTGATCCGCAAAAACAAGTAGCCAGTGCTTCTGCCGCTCAGACAAGTTGGGTTGTTCAAAAAACCACCGAAGAGTAGCATGATCCGTCATAACTTGGATGGGAAGACCAAGGAGAAGTGGACGCCATTGCTTGAGAGCATGTACAATGGCAAGGAGCTCCTTCTCGTGGACCGGGTAGTTCTTCTCAGCCGGTAAGAGAGCAGGAGAGTCGTATGCGATGGGAGCAGCTTCTTCTGCAGTTTGGCC